CAAAGGTGTCATTTCCTTAATTTTTCTCATTGAGTTTTCTATTTGCATATAGGAATGCTACTGATTTTTGAGTGTTGATTTTGTATCTGGCTGTGCTACTGAATTTGGTTATTAAATCTAGAAGTTTTTTGGTGGAGCTTTTTGGGTTTCTATATAGAGTATCGTCATCTGCAATTAACTATTTTAACTTCTTCCTTTCCTATCCTTTTATTTCTATTGTCTAATTGCTCTAGAACTATAATGAACAGGAGTGGTGATACTGGGCATCCTTGTCTTGTTCCTTTTTTAGAGTGAAAGCTTTCAGTTTTTGACCATTTAGTATGATGTTAGCTGTTGGTCTGTCATAGATGGCTTTTATCAGATTAAGATAAAGACCTTCTATTCCAATTTTCTGTGTGGTTTTACCATAAATAGGTGTTGGACTTTGTCAAATGCTTTTTGAGATGATCATGTGGTTATCCTGGGTTCTGTTAATGTGGTGTATTATGTTTATTGATTTGTATATGTTGAACCATCCCTGTACCCCTGGGATGAATCCTACTTGGTGTATAATCTTCTTGATGATTTGCTGCATTCTACTTGCCAGTGTCTTATTGAGGATTTCTGCATCTGTGTTCATGGAGATTGGCCTGTAGTTCTTTTTTGGTTAGATCCTTCTCTGGTTTTGGTTATCAGGGTAATGCTTGCTTCCAGGAATGAATTTAGGGGTACTGCTTCTGTTTCTATTTCATTAAAGAGTTTGAGGAGTAGTGACATTTGGTCTTCTCTAAATTTCTTGTAGAATTTAGCAGTGAATCCATCAAGGCCTGGGCTTTTCTCTGTTGATAGTTTTTAAATCACCTCTTCAATTTCATTGACTGATACTGGGTTATTTAGAATCTTTACATCTTCAGTAATTCGTATCTATCTAGGACTCTGTCCATTTTTTCTGCATTTTCCATCTTATTAGAGTACAGCTTCTCGAAGTGTCAATGATCTTACAGATTTCTGCAAGACCCATTGTGATTTCACCCTTTTCATTCCTAATTGAATGGATGAGTCTTTCCCTTTTTTTGGTAAGGCTAGCTAAGTTTGTCTATTTTAATCTTTCAAAGAACCAACTCTGATTCACTGATTCTTAGTATTGTTGTCTTCGCCTCAATTGCATTAATTTCTGCTCTGATCTTTATAATTTCCTTTTTGTGTTGTGCATTTAACTTGCTCTTTTTACCTTGAAGTTCAACACTATTAAGTTGTTTTTCTGATATGGGAATTCACTGCTATAAATTTCCCTTGTAGGACTGCATCCTGTAAGTTTCAGTATGGTGTACTGGCATTGTCATTTAATTGTAGAAACTCTAATTTCTTAATTTCATCTGTGACCAACTGGTTCAAGAGGGTGTTAATTTCCATGTGTTTATGGAGTTTGTGGTTTCACTATTGATTTCCCATTTCATTGCACTATGATCTAATAATATGCTTGGGACAATTTCAGTTCCTTTGCCTTTACTTAAGCATGTTCTATGGGCTAGTATGTGGACTACTTTAGAGAAAGTCCTGTGTGTAGCTGAGAACAATGTGTATTCTGCTGTTATGGGGTAGAGAACACTCAGATATCTAAGTCCATTTGTTCAAAGGTTTGGTCAACTCTGATATTGATTTGTCTAGTTGATCTATTCGTGACAGTGGGGTAATGAGGTTCCCCCACAACAACTGTATACACTTACTTGATTTTTCATGTCCATTACTTTTTATATAGTTGGGTGTGCTGGTATTTGGTGCATATATATATGTTCTCTTCCTTTTGGATTGTTCCCTTAACAAGTGTATAGTGACCTTGTCTCTTCCTATCAGTCTTGGCTTGAAATTCACTTTACCCCTGTTCTCTGGGTTCTTGTTGCACAGAGTATTGTTTTCCATCCTCTGACTTTTAGTCTATACATTTATTTTTGAGTTAAATGTTTTTTATATGGAGCATATCATTGGATCTTGTTTCTTGATCCATTCTGCCAATGTTTCTTTTGATTGAATTGAGCCCATTTACATTGATGTTTTTAACTGGTATGTGTTGATTTATCCTTGTCATATTATTTTCCTGTTGTTGGTTCCTTTTCTTTCCCCTCTTCATTGCTTGCCTTGCCTCGTGGAGTCATTCTATTGGAATTCATGGAATTGTTGTCTTTTCCTAGAATATCCTTTAGAACTTTTTGGAGTGGTGGTTTGGTGGTCATGAATTTCTTCAGGTATTCTTATCATGGAAGTATGTTATTTCTCCATCAATTTTGAAAGTTTTGTGGGGTACATCAATGTGGGCTGAAGGTTGTTTCCCTTTTGGGGCTTGAAATACTTTAAGCTCTCCTTAAGGGTTTGTATTGAGAAGTCTGCTGTGATTCTGATGGGCTTTCCTTTATAAGTGATTTCTTTTCTCTAACAGCTTAGTATTCTGTTGTGTTGAATTTCTGGAATCTTGACTATATGCCTTGGTGTAGTTTTTTTTTTTTTTTCCTAATCATGGCTAATTGGGAGTTCTGTATGCCTTATCTGCATGTCAAATTCTTTTTCCATGTGTTAGGTTTTCTACCATGATTTTTCATTGATTCCGATCTTATTCTTCTTTGCATCATCTAGCATCTGTTGGATTTTTTGTAGTCCTTTAAGAAAGCTTTCATTTGATAACTGCAAATCTGTCTTCTAGATCTGATATTTTGTCTTCAGATTGGTTGATTCTGCTGCACAGACTTTCAACAGAATTCTTAATCTCTTGGATATCTGTTGAATGTTTCATAGTATCCAGTTCTTTTCTATGTTGGGCATTCATGGTTTCCATCACTTTCCTAAGCTCCTTAAAAAAAAAAAATCTGTATCTATTCTAGATTCACTAACCATGCTCATTATGGTCATCATTTCTTTGGTTATCTGTGAAATTTGATTTTTTTTTTCTTGAACCTCATTTATCTGCCGTTACTTCTGCTACCGTTTCAGGAAGTTCAGCTGGGTAGCTTTTGCTTTTTTCCACCTCAATGCCTCATGATTTGCCTTGGGGAGCTGGATGTCTGCTGCAACCTGTTTCCCTGTCTTCTCATTTTCTATTTTTTAAAGTTTTCTGTGTTGATGCTTGTAAATTGCTCACGGTCGGTGGTAGCTAGTATCAAGACCTCCTTAAGAAATGACTTCAGAGATGCCTTGTAGGTATAGCTGGTTTTCGGCTTTTGAGTCTGTCCCAAGATCCTGCCTCTTCAATTTATTAGGGATGAGAAGTTATTTATTTGGCCCAGCACCCAGTTCTTTGGTGCCAGACTATGGTATTATGACCACCCCAAACAATCTCAGTATTGGTATACAAGAACAACTTACAACGTAGTCACCTTGGCTAAACTAGTACAATTAGCAATACAATAGCATTGAGTACTGTGTAGAAAATGCCCAATCAAGGTAATCATTAATTTGCCACCTTTAAAGGTACAAGATGTATAGTTACATAATAATACCTAAAACAAACCAGAAAATTATATACAGTAAATATCACTTCAATAGAGCAATTTTACTCTCAGGGGAGGAAAATTTAAAAGATAAGAGAAAGAGATTAGAAGCAAGGCTGAAGAATACAGGAAGATTACACAAGCTTTGGTACATGAAGGAAAGAAAAAACAAGTAAATAAAACAAATTTAAAACAATGTTCATACTCATGAAAAACAAAAAGCAAAAAAAGCTAAGAAAAGATTTATCTGTGACCACAAAACTGTAGTTATCTTCTGGAGTCTATAGTTTTATGGTAGTGTCCAATTCAAGGTGTCTCTGCTGTCTGATAGACAAAGGAGATAGAACCCACATCTGCCCTGGATGATCCCAGCAAGCTTGCACTAGGATTAGGGCAGGTACTAGATAATCCCAGGAAGCCAGTAGGAATAGGGCAGGGTGCCACTTCTGGTGCTTTCAATTTCACAGAAGTTCAGGCTAATCTTGTCTCTGGTTATGGGGTTGGGGCCTGAGTTGTTCAGCCCACAACACTCTTTGGTGTCCCTTGCCAGCCTGTGCTCTGCTCCCTGACTCTGGATGCCTCTCTTAGGTGGTCTTCACCCTGAGAGGGAGCCACCCCATGGTTGCTCTGAGTCTTGGGTTCATTTGGCCTCTTCCCAAAATGACACATAGCCAAGCTCCCTCTTCAGGGAGTCACTATCTATTGTAGTTCACAGCATCCACTGCTGTTCCACTGGTGAATTTCTGTGGAGGCCTCTGTAGTTACTACCTTTACTGTCTATAGATTCGAGCCTCCTCTCTCACACCATGAGCTGGGAAAAAGTGCAGCTTGCCACCTCCTTTTTCGAATGTTGAGGTCTGTTTCTTCACTTTCTCTGTGGGCTTCAATTCTTCCTTCAGATCCTTCCTGGGACCCGGGGATCTATCCCTAAGTTGTTATAGTCCAGTGTCTGGATTCTGAATTTCGGAGTGGCTGACCCCACTGCTGCTTACTGCTCTGCCCTTTTCCTGGAAGTCTGTTTTTATTTTTTGAGACAAAGTCTGACCCAATTGTTAAAAGTAGCCTAAGATGGGCTTGGACTTGTGATCTTCCTGCCTCTGCTTCCCAGAGTGCTAGGATTAAAACTGCCACTGTGCCTAGTTATCTCTCCCTTTAAGAAACAAATCTGTTGACCCCTGTAAGAAGTCCTTCTCTACTGTAGGGCAATGGATCAGACATCTGGATATCAGGGCAAAAAACCTTTGGAGGTGAGCCTGGTCTATCTACTTGAGAGCCAGTCAAGGTAAAAAAAAATTTTTTTCCTCCACAGCTGTAAATAATGGCTTAATCAGGAAGACCTTACACTTGGCTACATCTTGCTTCACTCAGGGCTAATCAATCCATAGGAAAAATATATTTAAGAACTATCCAGGTAAAGACTATAGAATGTGCATAGGAAATGGATCATTTTTAGTATAGGTGAGTGATTAAAAGAAAACAGCATCAAAAATAACAAGAATCTTGTCAGCATTACTACGTGTGGACTAAACAAAGGACACATTCTCACTAGAACAGAAATAAATTTTAATTCATTGAAAAGTGCAGCAGTGAACAGGATCCTTTGAAGGGCACTTTCTAAGAGAAATGACTGAGAGGACAGAGCAGAGTAACTTCTAGTAACAGATGATGCAAACACAGGAATTTACACAATTTGGTGGGAATCAAGTGGTGGAAAAACCAAAGAATGCAAATATACTCATCTAATTCCATTGGCGGGTCAGTTGAAATAACTTGCTTTCTCTTAATAAGAATTCTAGGGCAACTTATGTTTCATTAAAAAGCATTAATCCTTAATTTAGACACTTGGAAATAAACAACATTTCTTACAGATTAAGGTAACTTTCATGGTTTTGATTTATTTTGTACAAAAACCCTAGTGTTTTCAATTAAAATGTGTTTGCAACAGCACCGTCTGTCAAGCTCAAAGATACTTAAAATGTGTTCTTTAAAACTGTATGTGAGGGAAAGTTTGGGAACAGGAAATCTTGTAAGGCAAAATCTCTTTTCATTCCTAAGGCCTCTGTTCATCTGAATGATTTATGGTCCTCTATTTTGAAGGGCACCAAAAGACACGGACCTGACCTTTTTTTTTTTTATTTTCCCCCCCGTAACAGGGATCAAACTCGGGCCTTTGCACTTGCGCAGCAGGCAGCGAAACCACTGAGCCAAATCCCTGGCCAAGACCTGACCTTAAAAGGGAAAATAATTAAAATCCCAATCAGCAGAATTAAGAACAAAGTGAACCTTTTGCAAGTGGGTTCCTCATACATAAATTCTGAAAACAGTACATTTTGCAGTCGGTTAAGATATAAACTGAGGTCTCTTCACTCAAAGACTAGGTAAGAAAGACACCAAAGCTAAAAGAGGTACAGAGAGAACCTCACCACATCCCACCACCCAAATATGTGAGCTCAGTGTAAGAACACTGTAGCAGAGACACTACTAGCAGCAGCTGGCCTGGGTCATTCTCATGACTTCACCTCCTTTTAAAAGCCAACACCATAAAACTGAATAATATGACGTCACAGTCCAAGACCTGGTAAGAGATGGTTTCTTTTTATTTTGGAATAACTATGGCCAACTTTCATTAATGTTGAAGTTGACCAAAAATGTTGAGAGTAAAACCAACACCCATATTCAACATTGTAGTTTTGCTTTCAGTTACATTTTTTTTTTTTTTATCATCTCAAATATTCACAGCAGAGGTGTTCATTTCACCTGCCTTTTCAACTCTAGATAATCACAGTTGCTGGGGAGATATGAGGTAAGATAATAAACCCAATGGCTATTAAACCAACATGGCTATCTTGAATTCTGATAGAAAAGATACTTGTGGCCATGTATTACATGTCTTACAAAGTGCTTAAAGCTCGACAGAAGGCCTTAAATAAAGCTAAAATCACTTTTTGCCTGAGTTGAACAGGTTATAAATCACAACATTCTCCCCTGCTGTCTGCACCACCAATTAGCATTCTTGTGAAGAAAATGTTAGAAATGGAATTGGTCTTCAAGCCAAGAAACAAAAATGCAGGCGTGCTGAACAGAAAAATCAGACAGATCTCACTTGACGGGGGACTACTGAATAGAGCCCTAATTACAGTGTAAGACTCCAAAAACTCAGAAGAACCTATCTGAAAAGGGAAAAGGTGGGATAAAGTAGTTGATACTTTGCCATCAACTAGAAGAAATTTGTACATCTTAAATGAAGAGAATGACAGCAAAATGCAGACAATCAAAATAACTTCATATGGCACTGACACTGCAGGACAGGCACTTCATACAAGTCCAACCCTATAACCTGCCAACCCAAGAGCCCTAACTAGGCTCTCAGCAAACATGGCCTTCACAGCCCTTGGCCATTCCTTCTCCCCAGTAATGTACCCTCAGCCTGCATCGATGAAGTCTCAAGACAAGGGACAGTTCTTTAATACCGCTAGTGCTGACTGGCCCTCCGTGGGATTAGCAGCCACTGGAAAGCAGACAGCTGTCACCTTTAAGAGCTACCTGGAATTAGCCTTACAGAGCTCCCTGCTCTCTTAGTGCAGCACCAGCACAGAATCCCAAAGAAATGAATAGTTTGGTTGACATGTTTTGAACTTGCCACCTTAATTTATCACACTGTGATAGATTTTATAAACAATGCATCTCTACTTAAAAGCAGTGGAAATTGTTCTTAATCAGATGATTCAGCTCTGACAGTTATTCAAGCCATGTGATACTAGTATTTCTGACATTGAGGTGCTCAGTCTAAAATGTTATGCAAGTCCTCTGCTTTTAGGTCAGGCTATAAAACAAGTTTTCTTTTTTGTTTTGTCCTAAAGTATTGCCATTTACCTGAATGGATTTACAAATTCAGACTCTGACCACAAAGGATAATCAAATTACGGTCCCAGAACAGAAAGGACATGGCAGGAACAAAGACCTCAGGAGTGTTTGGTACCATCTGAGGGAAGGACCAAGGAAAGCCACTCCTGACTCATGGGCAGAGTTCACAGTTTAATAAGTTGCACAAGGAAGTCGGCTGATTGGGTTGCTTTTCAAACAGGACTTAGAGCCAGTCCAAAGCTCTTCCAGGTGTGTTCTCAAAGATGACCTACAGATACCTACTATGCTCACTTGATCAGAAAGAGGTGTGCAAGAATCCAAATGTGGAGGCTGCACACCATCTCTACAGAGGACGTTTTGAGAACCTTCGTGTCCTGATGCTGCCGTGATTGCTGAACATAAGACGAGGGTCAAATCTGTATCTGGAGACAAGAAAATGATGTCACATTAATTAGCTAGTCCCTAAGTACTACGTCAGAATATTAGCCAATGGGAAGGTTAGCAAGAAGATATATAAAAGAAATAGATCACCAGAAAGGAATCTCCTAGGAAAGTTTGTAGCATAAAACATGAGGACTTAATAGTTGTGAACATTTTGATTGTAAGCCAGCAAGCACTAAGATCACGTAGTGTAAACAGAAGAGAAAAATCTAAGGAGGTTAATCTTTAAAGGTGGCAGAAAACAGATTTTGTTACTTCACAGCCCTCTGCTCTTGTACAGTAAGACACAGACTGGCAGGAAAGCACAAGTGTGCACCTCAGATGTGTCTGAATCTGGCTTATGAGTTCAGACAGGCTGGTAACCTCTCTGGCCACCAATAAAGTAGCATGGCATTCGTGTACAATGTACAGCACAAAATGAAAAACTCAATGATTTTACCACTCAAGGGGAAAGGTAGAGTAAATGCTAAAAGGTAACTTGAGGTTGGGACTTAGAAGATGTAAAAAATACACACTGGCCAGTGCAGGTGAGAAATGACACTGCATTTTACCTCCTTAGAAACAGAATTGTGGGACAAGGTCTTAGTACCAGAGCTGTGATTGGCCAACATTTTAATAAAGGGCTAGATCATAAATATTTTAGGGAATGGGGACTATATAGTCCTAAGCAATCCACTTTACAGTTGAAATGCAGAAATGGCCATCAATAATATGTAAAGGGATATGTGTGGCTGTGTTCCAAAATTTTAACATAAATATGGCTAAATAAATTAACTTTCCATCAACTGAGGACATCAGTTCTTTCTCTCCTACAGTGCCACCTAAGAACTGAAATAATCCTTTCCTATTGAGTGACACTTTGATTTTTAACCTTACAATCTTCAAATAAGTGATATACTTCCTGCCTTAGCAGCTCAAGTACATAACATATTGGTACCCAGCATTCTGCTGACAAGCTACTGTGTAAGAGGTACAAGTAGAACAAATCTGGCCCGGCAGATGATAAATGTCTTTTATACTTCCATATGTGGCAGGTTTATATAAATAAATTTACATTTATTTTTATGTGTGTTTAAAATATGAAACCTACTGTAAACATTCAATTTTTTGTTTTGTTTTGGTACAGGGGATTGAACTCAGGACCTTGAGCTTGTGAGGCAGACGGAAGCACCACTGAGCTAAATCCCCGGCCCAAACATTCAACTTTCTGTAACTAGAGTTTTAAGGAAGCTGTGGGAAAAGGGTCAAAGCTTCAAGAAGCCTAGGTGCCACCCAAGTCACACCATGAGAAGAATCACAGCAAGGGAAGAGAAGAGCTTCACACGGGGAGCAGAGGTGTATCTGCAGTTAAAGCAGCAGATCGCAGTGAAAAGCCAAGGTTTCAAATAGCTGAAGCAGCAAGAACACAGCATTCCCTCTCCAGAGCAGAACAGCTTAGCTCAAAGGAAAAATGACCCAGCCCAGAACAGCAGGACCACTAGAGGCAACTTGGCGAAGTAGAGACCAGAAACTTACCCGGGGTCAAAAACCCCTGGAGTACGACAGGTTGGTCCAGAACAGGACTGTAACATCATTAACCGATAGTTCATCTTTCCCAAAAGCTCTGGGTCTATACTTTTAGCAATGTTAGTGATTTGGTCTGGGTCTGCAGTCAGATTATAGACTTCTACAAACGTCTAAAGGATTGAGGAAAGAAAAAAGGCATGGGTTGTATCTGCACAAATACTCCTAATGTGAGTTATTTCTAAATGGGAAAGGAGGAGGTAGATAAAAAACCAAAGTCCAGTGGGCTATCATCTTATCTCCACGTCCTCAAAGAGGCCAACTGTGTACTTGACATAAGAGTGCATCTATGCTGGGGTTCAACTGCTTTGGGTCAACGGCCCCATGCTGGAAGGGGCCACCTGCACACCCTGTGCTTTCAGGCAGTTGGGAGAGCACGGGGACGACACTTACTGCCTCTTGTAGCTGAGGCACAGAACACAGGCAGGGCCTCAATGGCAAGGTCTCAGAAGCAAGACTTAGTCATGACTAACAGTGAGAGTTAACATTTGAAGGCTTGTCTTAGAATTGTGAGATTCAAATAAGAATGTGTATGAAAAGCACCCTAACTTTTGTTATACAAATGCTGTTTCCCTATTTTAAAAAGTAGCTTTGGGTGTATAACAGCAATCAGGGAAGGACAAGAGATTTCTAACATTAGACACATCTAGTGTCAAGGCTTCCTTCTCTAGCTGTATGCTCTTTTTCAAAGTGGAGTCAAATGATAAGTCTAGACGTTGGTAAGTGTTGCTTAGCATGGCTTCATGTAGCTGCCCTCAGACCACCAAATATAATTATCAAACTGATAAACATTATGGGGAAGGGAGGAACAAGGACTGAGTTTGAGGGAAAGTGGTGGTCCAATGTGCTCCTGAGCTGAATGTGCAACAGTGCTCAAGTCAATTTCTGAGAAATGCAGACAAGCATCTGTCTCATATGATTAATGAGGGGTGCTGGATGGGGCAGGTAAGCATATGCTGATTAGCAATATGGGATCACCAGGGACTGGAGATCATGCTGTCCTCCAGATAACCTACACTTATCTTTGTTGGCCAAAAAGCCACCGTCTCCCAAAGGTGGTGCTCCTGGGTCTTTGAGGAGCACAGGACTGCTATGGTGGGAACAAGCATTTCTGAGTAAGTTAGCTGGTCAGCTTTCTAGGAAATACTCCAATTCCTCTCACCTCCGCTGAAGTTGCAGTGCTTCAATTTTACCCCAACTACCAGGGAAGCTTGCACAGTAGGCATGTATTATTCTGAAAAAGTGAACTATGCATTTGAAGTGTGTGTCTGGATGGTGGTGTGAGTGGAAATCCCATTTAGAAGGATCAGAGAAGCAAAGCATGGCCTTATGGAATTCTCTTAACTGAAGGAAACCTAAGCTGAAGTATGGAGAAGGGACACCACATCTTCCCTAGGGAGCCACGCTTATGCAGTGAGTCCACCCAATAAGGCATGACAACAAACGCAGGGGTGGGATGTGCAGGCAGACATCCCTCTTACCTCCTGGTCATCAAATTCACAGTACTGTAAATTCCACAGTGCTGACATCATCCTCACACAAGCATAGGTGTTGTTATAAGCATCTTCACAGATACAGTCTGGGAAACATTGCTGTTTAAAAAGTTAAAAAGTTAAAAGATCCTTCTTCCATGGTAACAAAAACCTAGTTGCTTACGGGGTAACCAAGTTGGCTGAAGCCAGATGTGGGAAACCTTTCAGGGAAGCCAGTGAGTCAAAAATAGAAGTGAAGTGCTTTTCCTTACTGATGGCTAACTTGATGAAGGAAATATGCGACTGCCATTTACAGGCTGTTGCCAGCCCTGTCTGGTAATCTCCTGTCAAGAATTAGTTGAAATGAACATCTGTAAAATGTATACACTGTCAAGGAGAAGAAAATATTCACATGAGTCACTTCAAGGACTGTTAGAACTATGATCCTAAAACATGAGGAAAAAAGCTAAAATGAGCTTTGTAGAATCATCTGCTTTTTGAGACAAGCTCTCATGCAGTCAAAGCTGGTTTTGAAGTCTGATCCTCCCTCAGCCTCCCAAGTGCTGGGATTATAGCAACACACCTAGCCACATAAGTTATTTAAGAGTGTTGTCACCCATACAACCTAACCATAACTCATTTTATCCTATCTTCTATAGCCTCTGTTATTCCACTTTGGGTTGGTGCTTTACTGTATCATTACACTTGGTGTCAGAAGAATCAAATTCAAATGAAAGCCAATTTCTCATTCCCCAGAGAGAGGCCAACAGAAGGTGGCTGTTGCCACCTTCATGACCTGCCTCAGCTGCCATCAATGCAAGGTACACACGACGGCTGTAACAAGTGGGAAGTCAATCTCTCCACCAGATGCCAGTGATGCCATCCCTAACAGAAAACGGTACTACTACTGGGAGGGGTAGGAAACATGGAAAGAGAACTGGGAAGAATACGGGCAGATACAGGGATTTGTTACAAACATTTGAAGAAACCAAAGTATGCATTCTGATGATAGGTTGGCAGCATCATTTTCGGATTACTGAATTACCTTTGTCAATCTAGTCTCCCACAGTTAGATGACAAAAGAGCGATACTCAAGGGTTTCAATACTTGCCCTTGTGTGCTGTAGTGAGAAAGCTGTCTAAGTCAGTGCAAGCTACTACTCACAGATACTCCAGGACTCAGGGATGGACAGGTTGGGTCAGTGACATTGCGGCCTTCTCCTTGATATTCCACCAGGATATCTGATCTCCAAGTCAAATTACTGCCACCTCTCTAAGGAAAAACAGCAAAGGCATGTGGTTGTGATAAAGATAACAGCATTCTTAGGGCTGGGGGTTTAGCTCAGTGGCACTGTGCCTGGCTTGCAAGTTCAAAGACCTGAGTTTGATCCTTGGTACCAGGAAAAAAATTAATATATTAATCTTCATTTTCTAAGAACTCATATTAAGACTATTATTAAGACTACCCTTTTCATGTATGTTGCAAATATTTTCTCAGTTTGTCACTTGTCTTAACTTTGTTTATGGTGGTCTCTCTAGGGCAGTGGTAACCAACCTCTAGCATGTGTGCCGTAGGGAGCTATTTGTTATTTATTGAAAGCTCTAAAAGGTTCACCATCACTACTCTAAGGACACAAAGGGGAAGAGGAATGTATAGAATGCTAGAGTTTGCATGTGGTCCTCTAAGTCTTTTCTTTAGAAAACTCCATCCTACCCCAAGATCAGAAAAAAATTCTATTTTCTGCCACCCAAATTTAACAGCTTTAAAATTTAGTCTTTTAAGTCTTTAGATAACCTGGAATTTATTTGAGTTTCGCCTCAAGATTGAGGGCTCTGTACTCACCAATATGGGCAGCAAGGACATTCCATCCATCTGTGTCTTATTCAGGTTATAGCCAGCGATGTCCAAAATAGTAGGACCCAAATCAATGTTGGCAACAAGCATCTGAAAATGAGGAAAAAGGAAATAATGTAGAACACAACTTGTCTTGTCTTCCTATCTGTACCAAAGCTCCCTTGCTCTAACCCACTTGAGATAAACAGCAGTCACTATTACCTTGTATACAGCTTACTTTCATATAAACAACTTAAAAAACAAAACAAAGGTTTATAGAGCTTCTAATATAAGCGCCTGTGACATAATATATTTATTCTGCCAAGACTGTTACTGATGAAAATACAGCAGTACCTCAGTTCACAAACACTTTTGTTTGCAAACAATGTTTCACAAACAGAAGCATTTTGCAAAATTTTTTGTTTGCAAACTCTGTATCAGGTGATGAACACTACTGAGGCCAGCTTTTCCAAAATCGTGGAACAAATTAAGGTTGTGAACCAAGGTACCAATATATTTTTAAAAACTCCTTTGGAATGGTCTTGCTATGAATCATGAAAAAAATGCTGGGTTAATGTTTTTTATATAGTGTCCTCCAACTTGATTATTCAGATTAGTTCACTAAATCTGACTTCCTATTGATTCCTAACATTTTAAAAAGCTTCAAAAGTTGAATACTTGCCACCAACAAGAATAACCAATTCATTTTACAGTTTTTCAAAGTGACAACACTGCTAAAAAAAAAAAAAAGTCTGCAATAGGATTAAGGCTCCAAGAAACTTATACTAATAATACATCAACAAGGCCGGGGATTTAGCTCAGGGGTTCCACTGCCTGCCTTGCAGGCGCAAGGTCCCAAGTTCGATCCCCTTGTACCAAAAAAAAAAAAAAAAAAAAAAAATCAATAAAAGTTTCCTTGAAGTCAGGCATGGTGCTACATGCCTGTAATCCCAGCTCTTGGGAAGCTGAGGCAAGAGGACTGCCGTGAGTTCAAGGCCAGCTGGGGCTACACAGTGAGACCCTGTCTCAAAAATGAACAAACAAGTTTCCTTAAAGAATATAGATGTTTTTAAATAAACATTGCAGAATTTAAAGAGAATGTTTTGCATTCTCTTATTTTCTTGGTTAATATGAAATTATTCTTTCGTATACAATGCTTGTACAGGACCTAAGCCAGCATGAAGCTCAATATTAATATGGCCACATATGTAATTTAAAAATATCTGATAGCCACATTAAAAACAGGTGAATTTCACTGTATATATGTTAACTCAATATATAAAAATATTACTATTTCAGCAGGTAAGATACATAAATTACATTTTAATTTGTTTTTGAATCAACTTTTGTTTTGCTTTTTGAGATAAGGTCTCACTTTGTAATTCAGGCTGGTCTTGAACTCAGTAAGTGGCCTAGGCTAGTTCTGAAATTGCAGCAGTCCTCCTATGTCAGCCTCTCCAGTGCCGGGATTATAGACATGTGCCACCGTGCTTGGCTGAACCAAGCTTTTGAAATCTGATATTTTACAATAGTAATACATTTTAATTCAGACTATCCCCATTTCAAGTATTCAACAAACACTGCAGATGGTGGCTATTGAAACAGACAGAATAGGTCTAAATGGAACCTAAAGCACAGGCCAAAAGTCACTTGGCCATAGACTAGAAAAAGCCTTTGAATGAATGAAGACTATCCACCAGGGAAGAAAGGGGGAACTACAGTTTGACACTGGTCTGTGCCAGATAGTTAACATTTTTCCTTATCCCTTACTACAATCTTAGGATGCAGCATGTCTCATTTTATAGATGAACAAATGAAATAAAAGTGGAAAAAATTTGTAAATGGAAAAACTTTTACTGAACTTAGTCTTCAAAACTGTTGAGAAAACTTAGGAAAAAAAAATCCAACTAACCCTACCACTTTTAATTTAAAAACAAAACCAAAAGCACAGATATGAAAGGCAAAACATCTGTGGATCACTGTCCATCAGGGGTTAAATTTCCTGATGGCCAGGTTGGCTCCCAGAGGGCGAGTGATAATATATATCCCACCTCTGAATCAATTAGTGTACTTCTGCAGCTGTTAAAAATTGCCATTCAGTGGAGACAATCAAGGGAGAGGCAATGCACATGTCACGGAGACAAAAAAAGAAAAAAAGAAAAGAAAAGAAAACAAAACAAACCAGCTATGTCCCCAGGGATTACACAGATCTACTGTTACAGATAATTTTCCTAGTTCTGAGACCCCCAGGCAAACTGAGCAGCTTGGAATATAGTCGTCAAGTCTGTGTGTGAATATGGAGGAGATCACGACAGGAAGGAAGACAAAGACATGATCGCCAGAGTCTGTAACATGAAGAGAAGGAAGCCAGTCCCTTAGGTACTATTAACGTGTCCAAGACAGTTTTACAAGGAAAAGGGTAAGCATCAAAATAAAAAAAGACACAGAACAGTGGTTGCTAATATCAACCATAATCACTTCAACAGCCAGCAGCTATATGATGGGAGACTCTACTAGTGTTTGCTCAGTGGAAAGAAAGGCCTGTGAATGTCAGCATGAAAAGTCAGAGTCACTAAGATCCGGCACAAATACCACAAGCCTGTCATCCCAGGATTCTTTTCTTCTCAGATGTCTCCACTTACTGCATCTTCCCTAAATGTGATGGACAAATTGCCTTCAAGATTCTGCCTAAGAAGCAGTCTCAAATGTCAGGAGATGGAAAACTTCTTGGGGACACTGAGTGGGAATAGAGTTCAAAAGACAATTATACCTACCTTTGGTTTTACACAACCAAGCAACAGAACAGATTCTATGGACTACAGAACATCAGAGTTTCAAGTCCCTAGAATGGCACTGCTTTTATCACATTGTCAAGTAAACTTAAATATTCTTTTATAGATTCGAACAGAAAAGGCTTTCACAAGACCAAAATAAATTATTCTACACATTGCAACCTATCAGTTTGAAAATGTTCTTAGGATTCAAGCACACAGACATTCTAATGAAATAAACACCCCTACAAATCCTGGGCTGTAAAATCAAGGGATACCAAGTGTTAACTTTGCTTATTTTTAGCTCTGGAAAAATGATGGTGCTGCATAATTACTGGAAAGAAGGCAACAGACTCTCAGAATACATTAGGTTTCCAGAAAGACACTTAAGCTCTGATGCTAAACAATTCATGCAGGATACTGGAGAAAAGGCTCAAAGCACACCAGAAGGTGCCCCAGGCTCACTGGTTAAAGGGACCACACATGCATGAGAAAGCAGAGAACCCCCAAATCCTAGGCTGCTCTAGCTGGATGTGCCCCAGCTCCAGCTTCCCTAATAAAGCAGCAGCCAGGGAATCATCCAGTTATACTCAGAAATGGAGATGTAACGTCTCAATTGTACAACTGGGGAAAGCAAAGGCTATTTTGTTCAGTCTTACAGCCAATGAAAGGTCTTCCTCTCAATTCAGTTCTATTTCCCCTGGACCATGTTCTGCCATTCCAGTTCACGTACTAACCTTTTCCTCTCTGAAAATCCTTTTAAGAACTTCTGCAACCAAAATCAGACAACCTGTGGCATCCACACAGCACCTCCCCCACCTCCCAAACAGCTGACACACAGCAAAGTCAATGAGTTAGCCAAATGTGGATTGCTTTGGCTGTCAGGCTGTTGATGGTTCAGTTCATTCTGCCAAACATGCAACTCTGCCACTCACATAGGACAGGACACCTGGCACTGAATGGCTCAACATCCTTGGAACTAGGTGAAAGCTGAAGCATTTCACTTGTCTCCAACAATATCTATTAACACAACAGCATGACAATCATGGATTATGAAAACAGACAGTACTCTGTCAGTCTGACTCTGCCATTTACTATATGATCTTTTGGTAACACCCATTCAACTAATGTCGACGTCTCTCAGAGTAGGCAGGTTAAGGGCTGTCTACTCTGAGTCTACAATTCCTCTTTTCTGGGACATCAGAGTAAACAGAGAAACTCAAGAGACTATGAGTGTGAGGCCAGCTGGGAACATGTAGGACGGGCACCTACCTCATGTCGAGGAAGGATCCAAAGTGACTTCCTAGGCAGAACCTCTAAAACAAAGCCCTACAGGACAACTAAGCTGGCCAGCTAAAGAGGGTCTGAGGTAGGAATCACAGACATAAGGAACTGGGTGTACCAAGGCCAGGAAGTGAGAAAGATGGTGCACTAAGGAAGTGAAAGCAGGCCCTTCTGTCACTTAAACAAGCCTGGGTTATTCCAACATCTGTGCCTCCCATTTACTGTTCTGCTCAGAACATTCTTCTCGCAGACCTTTTGTGACTACATCCTTCTCAACAGCCACATCTCTGCACAAATACTTTAGGGGCTTTCACTTACTGCTACTGCTTAAGGAGCAGGGTCTCCCTGGCACAGGGATTTAAGATCTGATCTTCTCAGACTGCTTTTTCTGCATCCAAGGTTCCTGGTGTACTGTGCCAGCAGGAGATATTTATTAAATATGTGGTGACTAAACTATAGTGTAATGGTTAATGATATGGACTCTGGAGCCAGACTTCCCAAGTTCAAATGTAGGGCTCTGCTGTGCAATCTTAGGCAAACCAATTAACTTCTGCACCTCAGCTTCCTCATCTGTAAGATGGGATAATAGTGTATCTTGTAAAGATTGAACGAGTGATTCAGGTAATACTTTTAGAGCAGCACCAGTCACATACTAATAAATGTTATTGTTGAAATGGCTTCCTAGGAACCAATTTAGATTGCTCAGACAAGGTGATATCTGACTTTCACATTTAGATGGCACTGTCAACCTGAAGAAAAGGAGTTTGTTCCATGGGCAGCTGGCTGACACATTTCATGGTGTTCCCACTTGGTCTTCTTCCCCATACGGGTCATACGCAATCCCAGTGACCCTACTTCTTGGAAATTCACACACTGCTGGCACAGTTTCCTCAACCAGCTCTAAATGCCAACCTCAATACAACACTTTTTTTTACAATAAGAAAAGAATTTTATTGTTTATTAATGTTTGTGTAAAACTTAAGTTTCTAAATTTTTAAAAGAAACACCACGAAGAAGGGATTAGTGAGCCGTCCCTTCCGGAGCCGTTCGCTTCCCACCAACCCTCCAAATGCATTCCGGGGGCTGGGGATTTAGCTCAGTGGTTTCGCCGCCTGAACACTTTCAAGATTTAATGACTTTCCCAACTTGCAGATCTCCTCTGAAAGAGCAAGCTTGTTCACACAGCACTGAAATTTGTACTGGGAAGTGACTCATTTGAGGGATGTAGGTCTTAAGAGCAAAGAAAATTCAAAAGACAGTTACGAAGGCTGCTTTCCCTTTCTGCAAGAATTTTAACAGTACTTCAATAAGAGCATGGTATAAGGAAATAAATGAAAGGGAGACAGTGAAAAAGTCCCCAAAGTCCCCAATATACCCAGAACTCTGGCCCATGTTGATGTCTATTTTTCAATTTTAGCTTAAATTATGTGTTTGCTCATTTCCTTTGATTTCACAGAGCTTGGAATGAAACTGTGATTATCAAGAAGGAGCGAAGACATAATTGGCAGAGCCTATCAGTGGTCTCCTGAATACCAGAGAAGAGTCTTTTGGATTGCAGTGCCCACCATCTCCAGGACCAAAGTCTCTGGGTGATAAGCAACAGGTTGAGAAAAGACACTGAAACCAAATGGAAATAGTAACAGGAAAACGTGCTACATAGTGATAGTTCTAGGAGCAAGAACCAAGGAAAGAGGAAAGCATTAGTAAGGAAGAGTCCCATATGGGAAGAGAAGGAAGAAAAAAATCTTCAGTGTAGGATTTCTAACGACTTATACTTAATGGGCAGTCAGACTAGCAGCAGACATCACCCAGGAGCTGGTAAGAAATTAGAACCTGCATTTTACCCAAGATGGGACTCACAGACACACAGCAAAGCCCAAGGGGGTCTGCCTTGCAGAAAAGTGAGTGCCAAACCAGGAGTCCTCTCAGAATCATCTGTATACTTAAAAGGAAAAGAAAAGCTGATGCTGGGTCCTCATCCACACCATGGAAGCCAATCAGGTTCTTTCTGGGTGGTGCCCAAACCTGTGTCATTCCTCTTAATTTCAGATGGTAATTTTGATGAACACTCTTGTTGAGAGTCACTCCTCCAGAACACAGACCTAGTCTCAAAAGACGAACAAAAGCTATGCATGCTGATGTAACATATGTAAACAGGAAATATACTTAATAGTGAGTGGGTGGTGGGGACCTGAAAAAAAAAAAAAGAGTCATTGTTTCCAAGGCTTATAAACACAGAAAATCTTATACTGAGCAGCTTTCATCCTCATGGGAGGAGGAACCTAACCAGCATTCTTAGGAGAACAGCATCATTTTCTCAGGCAAGTACCTACCTGTTCGGAGCATCAGCTTCAATCATACACGTACCTTGCTTGTCTGATTTGGTTTAATTCCAGGTCCTCGGACCAACAGTGGAACTTTGATATCAAACTCATACAGCTGTCTTTTGTCTATTGGCAAAGAAAACTGTCCTGCAAACGAAATGCCTAAGGTAAAGATGGAGCCAAGACAGACGTGTAGCTCATATTTTGTTTCACTTAGTCAACAGCAAAACTAAAAATTGTTTGTTCTACTATTTCTCATTTTTTAACAGCTTAAATTTGCTGTGCTCTCTTTTTACTGTAAGACAGGAAAAACAATGAGTTCATCATCTTTCAGTATCAAATGAGAAGGGATTCCCTGGTTTACAATAGGACAAAATGAATAAAAGTAACGACTGGAAAGGGCCGAAATACAAATACATAAAAATTTATACTTTGATCATGGCTCCAAATACTGCCAAATAAAAGGGACAAAAGTACGTATCCTGCTTTTCCTGAATGAAATGTTTTTCAAGATAACCAAATAACTGATGAGGAAAGGTCCAGCAAGTAAATGCAAAAGGACAGAATTATGAAGTCAACATCTTGCAATTTCTGTTGAAAGTAATGGATTTTGGCAACAATTACCAATGGGAACTTCAACGACAAATGTTCACAGGAAGGGCTCAGGCTGAAACCACTGGAACCATCAATCAATGCTGGCATCCACAAAGTAGTGTCACTGAGGAAACACTTGTGCCTGAATATAGGAATTTCTGTCAGATCTCTATCTTGCTACCAATCTAAAGGAAATGCTGAGTACATATAAGCAGAGGCGGCCTCATGAGACAGGATTTAGCCAAATTCAGAATGAGAGACATTCTAAAAGACAAAAGACCCACATTTCTAGTAAACCAGTGGCAAATGAGACTTAGAATACCAAAAAACTAACAGTAGAGTGTAAACTTTGGATCATGACATATAATAGTCAGATGCACAATCAGGTGATGTGCAGAATCACATGTCTGGGAGTTACTTCAAAACTTTCTTGGAAAAAGAAAGACCAAGAAAAACATAGGGAAAGTAGGAGGAATTCAGAAGACTGGCTACATACCTGAAAATCTGGAGAACAGAAGTTATTTTATTAGTGTCTGTCTTTTTTCTGGTGCTAGGGATTGAATTTAGGGCCTCTGTACTGAGTTACATCCTCAGTCCTTTTTGTGTATGTAGGTATGTACTTATTTAAATGAGAAAGAGTCTCAATATGTTGCCCAGGCTGGCATCATACTCCTGGGCTCCAGCAGTCCTCTGTCTTAGCCTCCTGAGTAGCTGGGATTATAAAAGCACACCCCTACACTCAGCTCCACTAGTCTTGACACTGAATGCTTAAAAAAAAATAGATCTTTTAGCTGCGTGCAGTGGTGCACACCTATGATCCCAGCACTCAGAAGACTGAGGCAGGAGGACTGCCCTGAGTTCGAGGCCAGCCTGGGCTAGTAAGTTGAAGGCCACAACTCACTATGAACTACACAAGGAAGACTGTCTCAAAAAAAGAAAAAAAAAAAAAAAGATCTTTTGCAAAACAGAAAAGGACCAAGAGATGGAGAATAGGGGGAGAAGAAAGAAGAAGACAAAGAAAGTATAGGCCGCAACTACCCACAATGAATGATCATTATGTATCACAACATGAACTAAAAAAAAAAGAACATGGGGAAAGGGGATCTAGAGACAGAGGGAGGAGGAAGGAGGGAGTGGAGGGGGAGGGGAATAAAAAGAATCCAGATAATGTCAGTACATGTACCTACTCCCTAAGATGAATATAAACATTATGTATTGCAAACATATACTAATAAAATAATTTTTAAAATATTCACAATAATACATTAAATGCCTAATCAATCTGTTCCTATACAAGCAGCCTCAGGTTAATTCCTCTCAAGTGGAAACTTATCGACTGGCAAAGAAGAAAACATTTGTTTAACTATGGAAGGTCCAAGTAGAAAGGACAAAAAAATCAAGGACATGGGACTAATTCCTACAGCAGTCTGGAGACCAAAAAAACCCCAAAAAACGAATTCTGTGATTTAGAAAGAAAGTTTTTTTCTCCAAGGTCACTTTCCGTTGGTTTTTCTGTCCAGAGTATCTTCCCCTACTGAGCTCCACTTACCCTTAAAATTAAGCTCAATTTTCACTTCTTCCACAAGGCCTGCCATTAAGCTCACTGTCTGCTCCTGCTCCTTGAACACCATGTAACTCGGCATATGATTTCCCCATGTGGGAATGACACAGCCCTCTAACCAGAGGGGTCTGAGGGCAAGACCCTCCCTGTGCCAAGTTCACAGCTGTACAAAAATTAGAACTCCTGCCAGGGGTACTTATTTCCAAATGGTGACTGAAGTATCTGACCCTACCTCTCACCTGTGTGATAGCCATTGTCTGAGGTAAAAAAGATATATGTGTTGTTGAGCTCCCCAGTAAATTCCAGTCTCTTGATCAGTTTCTCCACAAGGTCATCAACTGAGAGCAGAGTTTGCCACCTGGAAATGAACAGAGATTGGACAGAGGACACCCATCCTCCCATATCGGGGATTAAACTCAGGACCTTGAGCCACTGAGCTACACACCCCCCCCACCTCCCGAAGAGGACTTTTGAGGCAATGGCTGAGATATCACTATCTTGACAAAAGGGGCAAACACAAAGATCCTCCCTAAATAAAAACAACAAAACAAATCCAAAGGCTCAAATCCTAAATTTTCATCCCTCAGATTTGCCACTGCAAAAGAGTAAACTTAAAGAACGTAATTCAGTCATTCCAAAGTGTTTCCAAAGAAATAAAGTACGCATTTTATAACCAGTTAGCTTTATTTTTTATAGCCACTGGCAATGAGAGATAATCAGAAGAGAAAGTTACCAATCTGGTACAGATTACTACAAGTTGATTTACATAGGCCTATGCTACAACAATGTTTAATCTTCTAAACCAGGGGTTGGTAAACTATGGCTCACGGGCCAAAGTTGCCTGCTGTCTGTTTTTATGAAGTTTTACTGGAACACAGCCATGTTCTGTCATTGTGGCTCCTTTTATGGTACAAGAGCAGAGCTGAGTAGTTGCAACAAAGAATACCTGGCCTGCAAGCCTACAATATTCACTAACTTTATATCTGGCCCTATAGAAAAAGTTTCCTGACCTCTGGGTCTAAACTGTATCAAGAGAGAAAGTAAACAGCAAAGGCAAATATTTGGGCTGATTTCTTACTAGGTGACCTTTTCTTTAAACATATGAAAAAAATTTCAACCAACTGGTTAAAGTTTGCAATATTTTTTAACAAGCCCTAAAAACAGATGGTTTAATCAGTCCTTGGGTTCCAAGGTCACTTCATTTCATATATCCGAGTGCAAAAGCACTTCTGCCTGCTTCCAAGGCAGCAAATGCCCCACCAAGCATCTCTCCCAATGACTCCCTAGCTGGTTTTTGTTTTGATGATAACAGCATGATGTAGTCTCCTGTCCTTAAAACCACTCTCAGAAAGTAGTAGTAGCTCTTACCTTTTCCTAAATGCATTATCTAAGTATTGTATTGAGGAATTAGTCATTGGTGTCTTGGCTTGCCTAATTAACCAGTGCTTGTTCTAAAATTTAGAAGAAAAAAAACCAAAACGTTAAGACCAAGTCATCATAACCAAACTACTAGATTCCTAGATAACAAAAAGGATCACTTTATACTTTAGCAAAAATAAACTGGAACCTATATAAGCAATGTCAGACTCTTTCTCCCTTGCCCCATTTTTCTAAAAAAGAAAGTTCTTAATTTATCATTTATTCTTCAGTTCCCACACCCTCCCAAAACTGTAAAATGCCTTCACTCCTTTACCATTAATAAGAGACTTTATTCACTGTCACTGGGAAACCACTAGCTAAACAATATTAAATTTCTAACTCTGATCCCATGTCTACTGCCAACTATAATCGGGCAAATATTAACTGTACCTTTCTCCAAATTTTGGCTAAAAAATCATCATTTCATTGCCCTCTATTTTTCTACCCAAAATATTGATCACCCTAGATCTCTAGGAAAATTATTTCTTATCAGTTTCCTAAAACTTCAACTCCAAATCTGGAAGTCCTTCTCATTTAAAGAAGTCATACTTTTAACAAAGGCATTTCCATACAGCATTTATTCTCTCGTCTATTCACAAAACTCTCAGCAACCAACTCCAAAATTATGTTCAAGTTGTTCTTTAGTTATAAAGTTTGAGAAATACTATGTAACATAAAATTTTATTATAAACTCATATTAGACCAAACGTACCTCTTAGAAGTCTTGTAGCAGAGTGATTTATTTAACCAGAAGTTCTCAAACTTACTGGTCATGGTAACTTCTATTAACTCTTTTGGGACACAAAATGAAAATACCCCTGTACTTTAAAACCCAATTCACTCAGGTTCAAATCATATTTAACAAGCACATGCCTACAGCATGCTAGGTAGTATGTTAGATGTTTTTATGTACTTTAATCCTTACAGTAATCACATGAAAGGACTAGAATCTCTTACTTTAGACAGATAGTACAGGAATTAAGCATCTTACTCATTTCATAGCCAGAAATCAGTAGTACTGGGTCTAACTTCAACTCATTCTCCAGTCTTACAAGCAATTATAATTTTGTGTCTTGGAGACACAAAGCAGTGCCTTCAGCCTTTGAAGCAGGGATCTGCCTACCCTGTGCGCCAAGGAAAGCACAGCCTATTAAAGCACATTTTGAGAAGCGTAAGTTTGGGAGATGGTGGCTTAAGTTTTGTGAACAAAAAACAGAATGGTGTAGGGGAATTGTTTTGTTGTTAAAAATGTGGCTTTTATTTAAATAAGGACTCTCTAGATGTGGACTTGAAGTTTAGGGACCTGCTATGATAGGATTTTTCCCAGGGACCTGTCCTGTCAATGTCACGAACAGGAAAACAGAGGGTAATGAAATGACTTATTAGGCAAACCTTAGAGAAAGGTAAAGTTAACCGACACAAGAGACATATTTGGGTTGTTGTGATCTTGAATTGTAGCCCGTGTACTAGCTTGATTTTTCATTCAACGTCCCTTCTCAACCACACTGCACCGTGCCACCCCTCTTCTTCCTAAGCCTTGGGCCACTGAGTTAGTTACCCAGGGGAGGCTGCTTCGGGCTCAGCTCAGTCCCCAGGGACATCTCAGCCACTGCCAGGAGGCAGAACAGCCTGAGAGACACTCCTGTACCCCGGGAAGATGGCACTCTTACCCTTCCCCGTGGACTCTCCAGCTGTTTACTGGGTGTGTGGCAGGAGCCTTATCTGTACCTGTGAAGCAAGTTTATCCCATCTTTTATACTAGTTCCTTTTCCCTTATTTCTCTAGTATTATCTCTAAAAGATCTTGAAATAAAACCTGCTACATGGCTCAGAGGCTTCCTGACAAGAATATTATAAAATTACACAAAGAATGGCTTCATGAAAGGCTTAGGAGATGTTACCATTCCATGGATGTTGAAATTCTTGTTTCTTGGTGCGAAGACATTCTGGAAAGTCTTCTGGTACTGAGGTGCAGCTGTCCAAGGTGAATGAGGGGCTGGTGTGGAGATCATCATGAAGAATGGCTCAAAGTTAGACTTGTAGTCCAAGAAGTCCAAGGAGACATTAGCCTGACACATACAAAGAACTGTCATCTCCTATTCTACCTAATAATTGAGTACTTAATAGACAAATGTGTTCTGGTGGGCAGAGGGTCATTTTAGCTGTTAATCTTAGGACATGATTGTATTTCATGGTCATGTGCAAGCATGCCGTTTAAATAATGTTTGTTTTTTAGGCAATAGATAAAAAACAGAAAAGCATATCACCTTAAGAAAGCAACTGCTATCCTGATAATTTTACACAATCTAGAAATTCTTTCATCCATATGGAAAGAAATAGTAATTTGTCCATTTTAGTATTTACACTGATGAAGCTTGGAATATATACATCTGTGATGCCTTAAAGAATGTGAAAAGAGAATCAACCTAACTCTGAATAATGGACTAGGTAGATGAAGCTACCTTAACTTTATGAAAATACACAGAAGATGTCAATTATGCCAGTCAAAGTAGCTAAGCTAAATGAGTATCAGGCACAAATACTGGGGTTGAGCATGTAGCTCAGTGGTAAAGCACATATCATGCATGTGGCCCCAGGTTTAATCCCCAGCACCAAAAACAAAACAAAACCTCAAATACATCAACACCAGGGCTTTACTTCCTATGAACTTAGATTCTTCATTCACTTAACAAGAGATACTTTACGAAAATGAAAACACCCCATATACATGCTCTCTTTCATACATCCTCATTTATTCCCAACATTAAGTCAAAAGATACTAACAGTATCTACTTCCTATCAGCTTCCCACTCACCTACTTTATTCCAGTCCTACCAGCTCCTTTGTGGTTTCTCAAATATTGAACAGGCACACTCCTGTTCAACCAGAAGCCCCATACCTACTATTTCCTTTACTGTAGCACTCTTTCTCCTAATTTGGATAGTATACCCTCACCTCCTCAGGTTTCTGCTTAAGTGTTATCTAGCTCCTTTTCTCTTTTCTAACAGATTCCCATCTAAGAAGGCAACAAATGAGTGTATGTACATACCCACATACACATGGCATACTTGCAACATCTTGCCACAACATTACCTTTCAGAGAATCAGACTTTGCTTCACTTACTGTTGAACATCTGTTAGGACAGCAGCTAAACTATTTATTGAATAGATGTTCTATGGAAGGTTTCCATTAAAAACCCTTCAGGAAAGAACCAAATTCACTTGATCTCTCTCGTCTCTCTCTGTTCCTCTCAAGAATTCCCATATTTCTATCACACAAGGCCTATTAGGCGGCTGTCTTAATTTGTGAGTAAGACTAGGGGTCAAGACTGAGAACCTTTACAAAGTGAAACCTGTACAAAGTATTCTCTATAGTCCTAAGAAAAGAGATTTATTCCTGGAATTGCAAGAAGATTAGATCTGAGCCTGGCTTATATATGAAGAAATACACCCTCAGGAATTCTAAATCAGCTGGAAATACTCTTTGGCAGTTAGATTAAATCATTATCCATTTATATTACCCAATATAAATAAGACTAGAGATTTTCTAGGCAAAGTCTTCAATCAAATGTGAGCCAGGCCTGCAAGGACAGAGCTTTATATAGGGCTCCAGCAACTCACCAGGACATCTGTCAAGTAGTCCACACTGTAGTTTTCTCCATGCTTCCGTGCCTTCCCATTGATGGAGAGAGTGTAATTATAGTATTTAGAATTCTTTTCCTATTTAAAAGAGGAACAAATTTGTTATGAAGTCCAAATACAATATGAAAGTCTAAACCCATGCTGGGCTAAACTATGTTTAAACAGTAATAAGATGTACAAAAGGCAATTACTCATATCAATACTGAACTGGATTTTTTGATGAGGGCTTTATCCAAGACTGGCATAGTTTCAATAATTTATCTTAGCTTAAAAGCCACAAATGGACCAGGAAGAACAGTAAATTACATCGCTAAACTGTAATGCAGGAAAAATATCTGGAGAGAAGTGACTCACCACTCAATAGATTTTCTTTCACAGAGACAAAACAGTTAATCCACAGCAAATCCAAAGCAAAATATATATATATGGTATTAAAGTCAGAAATCAAATATATTTTACAGCTGTAGGGTTGTGTGTGATCATCAATAATGACTTCAATAATCACTCACCAAAGCATACCAGTAACTCCAACCTAGAGGAACATGTTCCAGACCACCTGCATCCAGGGATCCATACTGAAAAGAGACAAGTGCATCAGAACTCCTCAGACATAACCAGACCAGAAACAGGCAACTGAAAATCTTTTTAAAACTAGTGCCTGAAACATAATGGTTGCTCAATTTCCCCAAACACATAAATCAATAAAAAAACCAAAGAACTCTGTAATCCCAGCAACTTCTTAGGCTGGAATTGGCAAAATATGGCCATGAACCAAATCTGGCTCGCCAATTGTTCTGTACAGCTGGCATGCTAAGATTTTTTTAAAACCATTTATCAATCAAAAGAAAAATATTTTGTGAAATATGACAGTTACATGAAATTCACATTTTACTGCTGACAGTTTTATTTGAACGCAATCACTGTCTTTCACTTCAGAGTATCTACCCTGCTCTAGAGATGCATGGCCTACAAAGCCTAAAAACATTTACTGTTTGGCCTGCTACAGAAAAAACATCCATGTGGCCTATCTCCCATGACCAGCTATGATGGTACAGGAGAGTCCAACTGAATTTGTGGGTGGTAACAACCAAAATAATCAGACTATGAGCTATCGGGCTATTATTTCAATTGTCCTGATAAAATCTACCAACTAATCTGATGAGATGAGTAAGTGAAGAGACCACAGCATGCTCCCACCTTTTCTCAACAAAGTTTAATACTGCCCATTTAAGGCAGACTTCAATCCCCAAGAATTATGTACACATCAGATGACCTTCAATATGCAGTCACATTAAGTTTTCTTTGTGACCCATAGTCCCAACCCCATAACCAAGTATCACACTTTCTACTACTTCTCATAATTCTTTCAAACTGACTCAATGTTCTTCAAACCCACAGGTTGCAGATTTCCCCAACTACTGAGGGAAGAGGTAGAACAGAAAATTCAAATCAGATATTAAGACCGTAGTATGTAAGAAAATGTACATCTTCTTTGTTCTGTGTTCCTAGTTTAAGCATAAGCACCCCCAAATACACTACTTCCTTTAAGCCTGGAATCTGTTTGTTTTTTGGCACCGGGGATTAAACTCAGGTCCTTGGCGCTTGTGCAGCAGGTGGCGAAACCACTGAGCTAAATCCCCGGCATAAGACTGGAATGTGACTAAAAGGTAATGCTAATGTGGTGGACTTGGGGTCATGATACCTGGCCTGACATGTCACAGTGAGGAATCATACCCTCCAGGTCTATGAGTCCAGCACACCAACCTCTCAGCCGTTTGTATGAATGTCCTGCCTGCCCCAGGCTCTGGGCACTTTCCCTTTGTCACAATCTCTCCACAGTTCATTTTCACTTTCCAGGTCAGAAAATGTGTTAAGCATTAAGTTGTTATAATTCATGAAAGACTGTTAGAAATCTGAGGGAAGAGTCTAAGAGAAAAAATTTTTCACTTGGATCCTCACACAGGGGAAATGGAAACAAAGATACCATAACAGCCACATGACAAGCAGAATTCCCAAAGGAAAAAAGGGAAGACAGCACTACTCTTAGAAGAATTTTTAAATACTAGAATAAATACAATATCCAACTCATGTAAATATGTTCATGTAAGCTCTTCAATGGGCAGATTAGAAAAAAAAAACATATACCAAGAACGCTTTAAGATGACTTGAATTGATACGAAGGAAAAAGCAATTAAGAGGAATTATATTACTTCACATTTAAAGAGCTGTTACAAGAAAAAGGAAAAGACCATGCAGCATACCTCATTTAAATATTTCCCTGCAAAAAAGGTTTGGTAACCACACATGGACCTCAGTATTGCTGGGAAAGTATTTGGCTCCTGGGTCTTCTGCCAAGATGTGCTGCTGCAGTTTCCCTCCAAAGTGTTGTTGACAACATGATGATTATGTGGGTACTTCCCTGTCAGGATACTGGCTCTGCTGGGGCAGCAAAGAGCACTTGGCACATACTACAAAAAGAAAAGGAGCAGAAAAGACAAAGTTGTATGAGAAAGATGGATTTCTCATTTCTAAAAAGAATAAAAGCAGCTACTCAATAGTTTAACTTCAAATTTTGAATTTCTCATGGAATAGATTTTCTTTACACATGACATACTTCAGAACTGTTTTTAGGGGATATAATGAAGACACCAAAGAAGATAAGTCAAACTGAGAAAATAAATTTTCTTTTTCAGTTGGTTTCTTTCTACAAATAACAATAGATGTAATGTCATTTGGCAAAAAAATAATATTTATATGCTAGAAACACAGCATGCTGGAAACAGGGTCTTAACCAAAGATAAAGAGTGCTACTTTAATCTAATGTAATTGAGAAGTACAGGTTCATGATCAGGTTGATCTGTACCTTCATGTATTTCTTGTATCATGTTATACACTGGACGCAGACTTTTTTCCTTGTCTAATTAGGTTTCCTTTATTTACTGTCAACAAATTCTCCCCATTTTACCTAGTAATATTTGTACATACCACCAAGCCACTTCACAAATGTTAATACTAGCTCACACACTAGCACTGAAGGAATAGCCATTCAAGCACACATTCATGCTAAAATTAATACTGTCCCTTTTAAAGACTTAGTACTATTTTTTTGGTCTTTCATATTGAATTTAGTTTTTTGACACCAGGAAATAAAGCTAGCAACTTGTAAATGCTACGCATGAGCTCTACCACTGAGCTACACTTCTAGCCTGCACTGGCATTTTTAAATACTAGTGAGGGTGAACTTCTGCACATGCAAACTGTCCAACTGTGTTTATGGAAATAGTCTCTTCATGTGTTTTGCTCTTTTTTTTTTTTTCCTCCTGGGCTGTTGACTTCCTGTTGACCTGTTACAGATTTGAATTAAGGAATGACTGGGTCACATTATAAATACTTCCCAGTTTTACTTTTGCCTCTTTTTTTAACTTCTGTTTTTTGGGGTTTTATTTTATTTTTTTCAGACAGGATCTCACTATGCAGTTCAAAGCAGGTCTTGAACTACGTAGTCTAAGCTGGCCTTGAATTCAGAAAAACCCTTCTGCCTCAGCCTCCCGAGTCCTGGGATTATAGGTGTGTGTGCCACCATGCCCTGCTGGACTTTTGTTAATTTTTACATCAACAACTCCTAATTCTTTTCTTTTTTCTTTCACATTAATTTTATGGCCACACCGTATTCTGGGCAATCTCTTCCTTTGAAAATATAACCTTGATAGGGCCGAGGATTTAGCTCAGTGGCTCCGCTGCCTGCCTCGAAAGCACAAGGTCCTGAGTTTGATCCCCAGTACCAAAAAAAATATATAACCTTGACAAATTTGACCTCTAGCATGTAAAAATATTTTAAGGTGAGGGGTGTAGCTCAGTAAGTAGTACAACAGATGCTTAGCATGTACAGGCTCTGGGTTCAGCTGTCAGCACCTATTAAAAAAAGCATAGAATCACTTGAGTCTAAAAAAGTCCTGCAGGCCAGGGATTTAGCTCAATGGCATCTCACCTGCCTCACAAGTGCAAGGTCCTGAGTTCAATCCCCGATACAAAAAAAATAAAAAAGTCTTGCTATGAGTTGATTAGAATAAATTATTTTGCTTGTATTTCCATAGAAAATGATCTGCATGTCTACATATGAAGTATTTTTATCACTAAGTACTGTAACTTCATATAGGTCTTAACCATTTCTGGCCACCACCAGTTATTCCTAAAGAGTCTGTATTTTGCTATTATGAAGATCTTTTCTCTCTCTTCTACTTTGTTAACTCTTTACATGGAAGAAAGATATTTTTGGGCTGGGGATGTAGCTCAGTGGTGCCATGCCTGCCTGGCAGGTGCAAGGTCCTGAATTCAATCTGCAGTACAGGGAAAAAAAAGGTATCTTTATTTTTTCATTTCTACATTGCTGAATTCTACTGAAGAGTTTTCCAATAATTTTCCTGTGTTTTCTAAGTAGTGAATCCAAAAAAAGTGGAAATAATAATTTTGACCTTTTTCCAATAGTTTTATAACTTATTTCCATAAGATTTATGGCAATGACTAAACAGTGAACATTAAATAAAAAACATAATGCCTCTGTCTCATCCCTAACAACAATGCCCTAAGTCTTTCACTTTTAAGTATAAGGTGTACTATTTGTTTAAAATATTAATCAGTTTAAAAGTTATTAGGAAGGGATGCTAAAATTTCAGAGGACTTTCAATTACCTATTGAGATGAATATCTAATTTTTCTTCTTTCAACTACAGATATCACATTGGTAGGCAATATAATAACCCAAAATCATGTAGTACTTATTTGAAGTCCAGTTCTGATGTTATCTTTTACATGTATCAACTCATTTAACTACAATAACCTTGATATAGATTCTGGTAACTCCATTTACAAATGAGAAAACCAAGAGCCAGAAAGGTTAAGTAATTTACCCAAGGTCACAGAGCTGGAAACAGGCACAGAGAAGTACTCAAAACTAGGGAATTTGGCTCGAGAATCTGTGCTCTTTGGTATAACACTGCATTACTACTGGGTGGATTTTTTGTTATTAAGCAACCCTTCCTTTCCTAGACTACCATTTACTGGGTAATACGTACAGTTCTTGAATTTGAATCACTAGTATTTTATTTTGTTATTACCTTTGTCAGGGTTGGCTATTGGAGATAAATGAGCTTTTACCACAGAATAAGTTACATAACATAAATATTACTTGACTCTTACAATCTATTTTCAAACCTCAATGAGGTTCTAAATAAAATTCTCTAATTTTGAGTTGTAGCACAGACTGGATTAGAAAATACTTGCAATTAATCTTCAACTGACAGGAAGTAATATTTCAATTAAGAGAATTTATAGCATATTAAACCCCTCCTTCAGATCAGATATTTAACTAAAAAAAGCCCCTACATAGATTACACCAGATTCCCAAAACAATGTGTTTCTTAGGATATAAACACAAAATCAAACAAGATTTGTTTCAAAACTTACGGCACTGGAGAAAGTCATCCCCATCTCTCCAATAAGAGCCTTGGTTTTCTTTAATGGTGTCTGTAAAAGAAGTAAACATCCATTAAGTAATTTCTTCCAATAAATTAAAACACACAGACCAAAATTATGCTTTGTTATATGTTACTCAACTTTTACTCCCAAATAGCTCTACTGACACTAAGAAATTAGCCAAGAGAGTGGTATGATTCTGAAGATGAATCAAACAGATTTGTTTAGTCAGTTGTATTCTATGCAAAAGTGCAGAGACGTGGGCCGGGGATTTAGCTCAGTGGTTCTGGTGCCTGCCTCACAAGCACAAGGTCCTGAGTTCAATCCCCAGTACCCCTACCCACCCCAAAAAAGTGCAGAGACTCATTATGCAAGCTGGGACGGAAGTTCGCAAGTGACGACAGTACTACCAGCAATGCTGATTTCAATGTCATGAAATTTTGGTGCCCTTTCCTCATGTCACCAGCCCCCTTTCAAGGTAGATATGGCACACCTATCTTCATGAATTCACCTTTAGAAGAAGTCAAAAAATATGAAATATAATATGAGAGGAGCCTTCCAACCTTTAAGAAGTAAGATCACACTTAGATTCTGAAAGCCAGACAAGGCCTTGAGACTCAGAGGCTGCCTCAAATCTCATACTCAGTGTGGAGCCCAGACACACACTCTCTGACTACCAGCTCTCCGTGCCCTGCATCAGACAGTTCACTGCCTCAGTGTAAGCACCTGAACCAGGTGGCAGGCAGCAGTACATGGAATTCTGTCAGGATGGAGGCTGGTCAGAAATTACTTTGTTTACATCCTTGCTTTTCAGTTTTTGTTCAAAGTGTAAAATTCTGACAAATACAGAGAACAATTAACTTCATCCTAGAGGACAAGGGTATTTAAATACAAATAGGAACACTAATTTTTTTTTTTTTTTTTTTT